TGTACATAGGAAAGATTTGTCTTATATTGAGCACCTCTTGCACACTGTCCTATATAGCTTTAAGTGTTATTTTTTTTCTCATGCTGTGTTAAATAGAGAACATTTGACCACTGGGACCCACAAGAATGCAGCCTAGATTTTAGCCTTTTTCAGTTCACAGCTGTTGCTTGCAAAACTGTTGTGAAACTGGCCATCACAGTGACACCTTTGGATCACATGAATATTAAATAATTGAAATTCATTTGCAATTTGGAATTCCATGAGTCGGCTGTTAGAAGAATCAAAATGTATGATTAGTATAGTAATTGGATCAATCATTGGTAGCCCAGAAATGTTTATTGAAAAGAATACATTAATATTTTATTTCACTTTAGCAGAACAACCTGGTAGACTTATTTTAGCTCAGTTTCCAGAAATAATCTCCTTATGCATGTATTAATGTGACTTCCAGAAGAGGAGAATTCTTGGCTGTTATTTTGTTGCAAACATCAATTAGAACTAACCCAATTCATCAGAGTCATCTTGTGAACTCTACTCACTTTGGCTGTGACTCGTGTTTCACAAATACTGTGTTCTGTGTTTCATGTTAGTACTCAGGACCGTAAATATCTAATATGGCTGTGTTTCTCTTCTGATAAATCAGGTCTTCTGAGCAGACTTTTGGGACAGATAATATGATGAAGTAATGACCAAAACCACTTCATACTGTTTGATGGGGAGTGGTTGGTCAGTGGAGGACTAAGTTCATTTTTAATTTCCAAGTGGATCTCTTAAAAATAGTATCTAAAAGAATTCTGACAACTATGTTGTATAATAATCAGCTTGAAATTAAAGATCAGCATATACATTATTGTTGAAAATATATTTGGAATCATGCTTATTTTTAAGAGAAGTGTCATAGCTGAAAGCAGTAGTTAAGGAAATAAAACTTGTAAATTTTTCTTTTAAGTTACTCCATCAGGATAACTGCAGATGTTTCTATAAAGTACATAGTGATTCATTTTTGTGTATGAAATAAAAAGTAAACTTAATATCTGTGAATTATGAGGATCATTCTGATGCAAAAGGTTGAACTAGCTGTAAAATGGGAAGTAAATACAAGACCATAAACATAATTTCCCTGCATTATTATGGAACAGGTTTAGAGATTCTCTTTGGAGTTGGAATGTGTTGTTTGTCTTTCAGTAGAAAAGTAATGACAACACTTAATAATTAGCATTAGGCATCCATTCAGGAGCACTTAGATATGTTCTTTAAGAAAATATGAATAGCCATACCGGGTTCATCACTGTCATCTTCAGTCTCCTGTATTTAGCAGCTGTCAGTAACACACTCCTAAGAGAGACAGTGATAACAGGATAAATCTAGAGTCAGCTGATGCAGTTTCCAGTTCCAGCGCAATGGGAAATCCCATTGAACCAATCACATGTAATAATTGCCAGTACTATCTAAGTTGGTCAAATCTGTATTTTGTAACCCATTTATACAGATGGGCTTTGCTACAGCAAAAGGGAGTTCAGGAGTATTGCTCTTCATGTTAAAATTAGTATGCGATATGAATTAGTATGCATTACTAACCTCATCTGTGACATTTTATTAACATATTATGTATTACCTCCGTTGTTCCTAACTAGGAATGTACTATTGGCTCAATCTTCCGTGTTTACTCATTGGAAGATTTAGACAATAAGATAAAGTGTGTGCTAAAATACATAACACATACATACACGCCACCTACAAGCACTCAACAATACCATGTTAAAATTGAGTATTCTGACAGAAGGCATTGCTTAAAAATGTCGTACAAATACTTTGGTTTTAGTAGGCTTGACTTGCTGTAAAATTAATGCTGCTTCTATGTTGGAAATTCACATTTGCTACTTAAAACCTTTTAGAGTCATTTGTTTTGGAGTTTTTTTCTTTTTCACTTCTTGAATAGGATATAGGGAAACTGGTTCTCCCTAGTTTTAGCTGTCCCACTGCAATATAAGTCATGTAGTGACAGATGACCACATTTCCTAAAATTGTTTCCTAAAATATTCAGTGCTTGCTTAGGCAAAATTATGCTAAAATTGTATGAATTTAGTATTTGGGAAACACAAGTTATGGTGCTTCTGTTTGAGGCATATTAATTTTGTTTGTTTATGGTACTAAAATTTCTGTTTCAATAAGAATTTTTTTATATATGAATCTTAAAGTATGCCTCTGAATATCAATGTTTTCAAAAGTATTGAGTAGTCTTCAAAGTACTTGAAAATAGGTTCTTGACAAAAAAAAAATAATGATATTTTTTTAAGAAGAAACACTTGATGTCATGATCATTTGAAGTCATCTGAAATCCATAGAACTAGTGTAGCAGTTATTGTTGTCTGAGCCTGTTTTATTTAAATTTCTTAATGGCATCTATTAAAAACACCTGAAAAAAATAGCAACTGACTTCAGTATCTTGCCTTCCTTATTAAAACAAAATCACTGGCATTCCTTTATTTTGACGGTTTAAATGTCTTTCTTGCTGTATTTGTATTTAATTTAGATCATAACTGCTTGGAGCTATATATTGTATAGGTAGCTCATGTGAAATTGCGGTGTTGGGGTTGTTTTTTTTCACAGCATCTTTGGTTTATGTTGTTTAGTGAAACCAAGTTAAATATTATATTGCTGGTGATGTTTTTGTTTATTCCTTGTTTACTGTCTTAGGAGCAACTTAATGCTTTCCACAAAAAGCTTCGAGAAGGGACACTTCTTGAATATTTTATGTCTTCCAATACTTAACTGGCAAGAAAAACTAGTTTTGTTTTAACTTGGTTTTACAATGACTTTCATTCCAGAAATAAGTAGATTTTAAAAATAGGTCTGGGTTTTTACTGATGGCTTATATTTGCCCTATATAGAATTACTGCAGCTGTCTTTTTATTAATCTATTTGTATTACAGTATGAAATACTGTTCATTATTATTAAATTCAACAAATTATTAATGTGGGAAATACTTTTGTGTTCTTTAGCTATCTAGTTCATGGTTTAAATGCTTACATTTACAGTTAATTTAAAAATGCTTCCAGTATTTAGTCCTGGCAAAGCTTCTAAAGCTTGGCACTCTCACCAAAATATTTCTCTATCACACTTCCTTCCTAGTAACTTTAGGACATTGGCAAAACCTCAGTGTCTTACAGTAAACAAACTTTCTGAAACTGGAACCTCCCTGTCCTAATTGAACAACAGACAAATAGAAATCTAACCCATTATTTTTCCCGAAACACACACTTTCAGATGCATATAAAGAAGAGGAAGATCTAATAAATTAAAATGTGTCCTGAAATGTTTAAAGGATAGTTATTTCAAACAATAGATTGGAATCCTTAGATAAAGCTTTTTCTTGTATTTAAGAATATAAGCTGTCAAAAAAAAATCTTTTAAAGAAAGTTTTTAGCTCAATTTTTGGTTGTAATGACAAAAAATTTTTTTTAAAACAAAGAAAAGTTAGTTTTTACATGGAAGTACATAATACTGTACTCCTGAAACTAAAATTAAAGAACGAGCACATTAATGAAGCACAGCATTCTTGATAATGTCACAGAGTACATATTACAAATGGTTCATAAATAAGTTTCTTGCTTGTTAACAGCAAAATCCTACCACGTCTTGGAGAAAAATGTCTTCATCAAAGTAGGCTTACATTATTTCTTGTGGAGGCAAAAAGGAACCAGGAAATACAGAGGCCTTGTTTTACTACCTTTTCGATTTCACTGCTTATGGAGTATATTCTGAGTTAGTTTAGTTTTCAGATTAAAATCAAGCTACTGTGTCTCAATAATTTTGCTGCACTTCACCTGGTGAATGCTGACCATGAATTGCACTAAGATTAGGTGTGAGAAAATGATGTATTTTGCTTCAGTCCTCTCAGGCCTGACTTTTCCATGTTTGTGTTTCTTCAAAGCTGAAAACAGCATAATGGAGTTGTAATTGTTCATGTAATTGTTCAGGCATCTTTTCCCATAAGCATTTAGCTTAAATTAACCTGCATTTGTTGTTTATGCATTGTTGAATAAGTTGTTGCGTATTTCTTGAACCATAGTAGTTTAAACATTGTTCTTTCTGAAACAGAGCTCTTGAGTGAGGAATAAATGTTTGCTTTGTTTTTTCAATGGTTTCATTATTGAATTAAGTTTTGACAATAGATAATAGATTTGTGGCCTATATATTAGCATCTAATTTACTTTACATACTTTTATACTACCCATTCCATCCTCCAGACAATGGTCTATCTTTTAAAATTATTTTCCTTTACTGAAAGCTTGTATAAAAGAAAGGCCTTTTCTCTCTTACTTTGGACATTGCCTTTATTGCCACCTACTTAAAAATAAAATTATTTACAGTCCAAGAAAAATAGTATGAATCAGGATGAATGAGAATGGCCAATTAGTGCTGCATTACTTGCTTTGTTATTTTTAAGGGTGAGGTTTTTTTAGTATACAGCTTTTTTGTCCAGAGATATATTAAAATGACAGGATCCAAGTAAGTTCTTTCTTTTCCCCTTTTCCAAAACACTATTTTCCCGTTTGTGATGTCAAATAATTTTGTCCTTCTCAGGGATTTTATGTCCTTTCTTTTACAATAGTCTGTCTCATGCTACTGCGTGGTACTTCCTAGGGAAAAAAATGACTGTGATCAGGAGGCAGCTGTAGATTTCTGTGATAGTACCATCTTAAATTAGATTAAGAGTTGTCATGTGTCATATCTTACCTGTGATTATTTGTAATATCTCTGGGGTTAACCATATCAGCCTATGCATATTTATAATACTGTGAGTGCCACAGAACAAATGGTACCATGTGGACAATGCTGCAATAGAAATAATTTTAGTTGTATGATCAAATTAATGAAATAAATAATATTTGTAATAATTTCTGCTAATAAATATATTTCAGCACAGAAGGGGAAAGAAATATCTCAGTAGTAAACATAGGGAAGTGTGCTAACTGTTGTTGTCTATGTTGCACAGGTACAGCTTTTGGTACTCCATCACAAGAAATGAATAAAAATACACAACAAATAGCAGAACTTGCAGCACTGCCGCAGAAAAGAACTAGGCGGAAGCTGATGGACTCTCCAATCGCAGCTCAAAGTCCAGTCGCATCCAAGCACTCCAGTCTCTGTCATCTGGAGGATTCCCTTACCAAGGAGGTCCACCCCATTGTGTATACACCAGAACTTTGCAGAAAGCCAGTACAAAGCTTCTGTGCGCAGACTGTGGTAAAGAAAGCTTCACACCTTGCAAGCCTTCAGGAAGCAAACGTATGTAACGTAAATATGCCAGTGAAGAAGCAGACTATTACTGACTCCACATGTGACACTATCTCAGAATGCGATGAAACTGATCTGAACTCAACAGTAATTCTCTATGAAGGGACAGGTGAAACAACTGAAACATCTACTGTCTCATGGGTAAAGGAGTCACAGCCATGCAGCAATAGCTTTCTGCAAAGGTATTTTCCATTTATATAGGCAAGGAATATTACCCAAACACTAATCCTGTTTATCTTCAAAGCTAGACTTTTCTATTGATGTCAATTTTATTTGTAAATTGAACATTTGAAAATCAAACCTTCAGTTTTAATCAGCAGATTCAATTCTGCCTTTACTTGAAATCAATTATATGTTGATGATAACAGATGAAGCTGAAAGCTTATCCTGTTTTATAAGATATCTACTGAATAGAAAACAAAACGCTTCTGAAATTGTTTGTGATTCCCCAGGCAGCTTAGTTTTTCTAAGCCTTACTTTTCCTGTCTGTAAAATGGATACCTTAACCTCTTTGAGAGATGCCATTGTTAAAGCTGTCATGTATGTGAGAAGTCCTGTGAAGCTGCTTCAAGTAATATTACAGAAATTACTTTCTGGTATTGTTTTTCAACTTAACATATAATTATTTACAGTTAAGAACAATTTCATTTGATTTCTACCCAGAATAGATTTTACAAAAACATAATTCTTTGATTTCAGATTTGATCTCTCTTCCTTGAAAAAAAGAAATCCTACTTCAGTACTTCAGAAGCCCTCATATATGTCAATGACTTCTGCTGCTGAGAGAAAAAGAAAGATACTAAGGTAAGATTATACTAACTCTTCTGACTTTATACAAATGAGTTTGTATTAATATCTCATGTTCTGACTTCTGTTTTGGTATTTTATTTCAAAACTGAAAACTTATTCTACAAGGCATCTGGACCTACAAGTGAGAAGTTCTGAATTGAATGTGTTTGACAGTTTATTTTTTTTTGTTTTCTTCCTGGCAACTTGAGTAGTATCTTTCTTTTACTCTTGGTTTGAGGAACTTCTGTTGTTTTAATGGAATGAGTACAAACTAATATTGTGCCTTCCATATCTGCTGTCTGCTCAAAATAGAAAGATGACAAATAATTCTGAAAAGAGAAATTCCATCATCAATTAGAAATCTAATTTGTTTGAAAATGTTATGCCTTTGCTGACATTACATTTGTAGAATGTCATTAGAAACTACTAAAATAGAAAGTGGAGAAAATGCTTAATACTTCTGTGGCAACTGCCTTTGTTTTTCTGATAATTCATTTCCAGTCTCAGTTATTATGACTTCAGTCTTGTGGTCTGCTCTGGGAATTCTCATTTCATCACTTCTGTTTTATGATCCTGAAAGGGGCTTGTTAGTTAGCAGCAGAAAAGCTGAAACTGAATAGACACTAAGTGGAATTGTACTTTTTTTGTTGTTTGGTTTTTTTAATATATTTAAGGATTAGCTATCAGGTCAGTAGTGATGAAACAGCTCTCTTTTTTTTTTTTTTTTTCATTTTTCCAAAAGAAAAATTTGATACGACTTAGCTATAACTTTAAACTGTATTATGGGAAAATAATGGGAAAAGCATAAAAACTCAGAACATAGATAGAATTATCTTGTTTATGAGGCTGTCTTACAGAGTGGAACCAGGGAAGTTAGAGAGGCAAGAGTAAAAGGGTGAGATCAGATAGATTCTTAATTTTCACTGTAGATCTTCAGTCCATCACATAAAAGGCTATAAAATATATAGGCTTTGTCTTAATGAATTTGAAGCTATAACAGCTTTCTTGCAGCTTAGCTAAGAAGTATTGCCTGCTATGAAGCCACCCCCTCCAACTGTGGAGGCTGTAGAAAAATTATTGTAGCAATAAAAAATGTAATTTGTTCAATAAACACAACTTGGTCATTTCAACATAACTTGGTCATTTCAAGGATTTCATACGTGTGTTAAGATTAATTCTTAGTATAATTTGTGGGCAGTGACCATCAAACTGGCTTCTGTGGTTTTTAAAAAAAACCTGTGGCATAATGGTTTATATTTTAGCATAAATGGCAACATTAGTTCTTATTTTAAGAGTTGAAACAGCCTTGTAAAGTTTTTAAAGGAAAAAGGGGAATAATATCCATACTAATAAAAATCAAATATAAACTAGGTTATTATTTGCATTATGTTATGAACTACCAATACTGGATAATATAATTTAATGTATTTCTACATTGCAAGGTCTAAACTGCTGTAATGTAGCTTAATTACTGTGCTAAAAACAACTCTTTTCTGGCTATTTTTTCCAGTTGTACATCAAACACTGGGTTAGACAGTCTGCAAGACCCTGTTTCGGCAAAACGTGTTCGACAAGAGGTCTTGTTAAGTCATAGAGCTCTGCGAGTACCTAAAATGACAGGTAAGTTAAAAACTTCAATGAATGACACTGCATTGGTAACTGTTTGTACAGAAGGTCCAAAATTAAGGTTGATATTTAAGGTTTTGTCAATTTAATAGCACGTGTTGCTGTGACCAGTACACTAAGCCATTGATTTGAATAGTATATCCATTCATTAAAAAAACATCTGAATGTTTAACCAGTTATCTGGATGGTAGCTAATCAATACTACAAGCTTGTTGGGAAAACCTTTTCAAGGTCTTCCACCAAAAATGGGTTTTGTATTTACTGAGAAATCTGATGAACTTAATTACCAATTTTCTTTTTCAAGTATGGTTTATCAAGAAAGAAATTCCTCTATTCTTTTCCATACCTGTTTTAAACTGCTTACTTTAGTTGATAGCATTACACGGATTTGTTTATATAGATATGATAATTTTTTTTTTCGGAGACTTATTACTTAAACTTCGGGGCTATTTTGCACCAACACAATTGCTGAGGAAAAATCATGTCAAAGGAATTTTTAGTAGTTATTTTGCTTCTACCAGATTGCTGATAGCAATACTATCGGATGGTATTCTGTGAAAGTGTAATAATTACATGGCTATAATTATGTGCCTCCTTTCTGAGGTATAAAAACCTTTACTGTAATAAAAACAGTTTCAAATTTTTTTTAGTAGATGTACACAAAGGACTTTTGTTCAAATTTCCAAAAACCTCTGCCTTTCCTAGTGTAGTGCATGGTGCTAAGTTACTTGGCACTTGCAGTAGATTTTAATGCACTAAATCCTTACCATTCTCTTTTTATCTCTACTCAGTTTTCTCCTTTTCCTCTCTATCTTCAGAAATACACTTAACAGTCTTTCTTAATGCAGCTTCTTGGGCATTTTACAGGAGATCAAAGATTGCTTAAAGTTTTAGTCTGTTCTTATTAAATAGTCCAATCATGTAGTTTTTCCCAGTGGCATAGCACTTTACAGCACATACATGTTTTTATGTAAGAACTGATGTGAGGGAACAAGTACTCATGAATATGTATTATTCTCCATTGATGAGAAATGTTCAGGTTCTATTACAACAAACTTTCTGAAAAGTGTAGATCTGATGCTAATCATTGTCTAACCAATACTTATTTATCTGGCAAAGTGCATATACTGTTACATCAGTATCCATTTCTACTACTAAAAACTGGGTTATGAAGTTACTAAAATCAATTGCTATTCTGGTATTAAGAAACTGTAATGAAGCACCACATTCTGAAATAGAGAATAGATTTTTGATTCTTCAAATTTTAACTGAACATAAAATACATTTTATTTTCAAAAGCATGCATTACAGCAGGAGAATGAAATATGACCTTAACAGGAATAGCTGCTTTTGGATTGAATAGACAAAACTTTCTCTAATGACAGTGTTCATTTCTCAATACTGTTCTATAATAATAAGGATTAACAAATTTTTCACAATTTTCTACATTTTTATATAGAACACTGTGCTTTTTAATAGCAACTCATGTGTCGATTGAGGGTTCAATCATTGGACTTTCTAGGCAATTAGCACACTGGATTACTGAGCTGAGAGTGATTATACTTTGCATATCAAAATTAGGTTTACAATAAGGATAAATATGTGTAAAAATTTAGACATGCTCTGAAAAGATCTAGTTTGGCCACATTCTGCTTATGTTTACCAAATGAATGTCTCCTGTTTGTAATAACTTTTCTTTCTTCACTAGGAATTAAAACAAGGACATGGAAGGAAGAAAAGGATGTGCCAAGAAACATAGTTAGAAGCTATTCTGAAGGAAATGTAGCATTGGATGTTAAATCAAGGACATCAAAAAATCTTTTGTTTCATATTTGTAAGCCAAAAAAATAAGATTTAGTCCATCCATGGAGTTCATCCATATTTCAAGCAGGCTTGATGGATAGCAAATGAGAACAGGGCAACTTGTTTTCATCTTGTGAATTATTTTGTGTTAGAGATGTCTTTCTAAAATAGTGCATTACTGAGAAAGAACCACTTTTTTGGAACTAAAAGGATTTTGTTAAATTCTGAAATACAGTTCTTCTTTGTGTCCTGTAAAAACTTACAAATATCTTTTGAATATGAACAAATGAATAAGAAATTTCTTTTTTATTTGGGAATGGAGGAGTGCAGAGTATACCTTTTGCCATCTTCACGGGCATTTCCCTGTGTTTCACTAACAGATTAATACTTCAGACAATGCAGGTCTTTAAGGGTATCAGTGCTGCTGTAATTTTTAGATGCTACTTTAAATTGCTTACCTACAGTCAGTCTTAGTATTTTAATGAAAATTTTATTATACAATAATTAGAAAAGTTGTTTTAACCTGCTAAATTATTTTCACTGAAACTTCCTAATGTTAAAACTGTTTTTCATTTAGAAGCATGTCAGACAGATGTTAATATTAAAATACATTCATGCTTAGCATTAGGATGCCAGTTTATTCTTAGATATGTTATCAGAGGTAGATACTACCAATGTAGTAGGAGACAGAAAAATATTTACAAAAAGTGTTATTCATGAAGTATTATATCTACCTTTTTTTAGCCTTTGTTTCTAGCCTGTTATTTGGTTGTAAATGTTCCTGTTTTGCTTTTCAGTTTAATTCAGTTGTAAATAGGATAATTATGTTAATTACTTTGAATAAATATTTGCTTTTAATAAGAGAAATATAATGTGAATTGATCTTCTAGAAAAAAGGTCGTTTTTTGCCTCTTACAGTATGAAAAATGTCTGAATTAATTTTGCAGAGTATTGTTGTAAGTACACATTTCATACTGCATTTTTTATAAATTATTAATATTTAGAGACAAGTGGTTATACATGGTTGTGTTGTATTCTTGACTGCCTGCCCACACTTAAGAATATTGTACTAGTGTGCTTGGTCTGTGCAAATGTAAGTCTACATATTAATTTCCCTGAACTAGGGACAACTAGAGGAAGAAGTCCTGTAACTAGTTCCAGTGGTGTCAAATGACTGAAGCAAGATGCTTGCAACCCAATCAGTTAAGCAATGTGAAGTATGCTGGAAGAATGTTCAATAGTAATGGGCTTAAAAGAGCTTCACAGGTTGTTGTTATTATTCTATCAAAGCTTTTCCATGCTTTTAACAAATTTGTTTCTAAAATGGTTTCAGTATTCCAAATATTTATAGTATTATACATTTATTTTTGTTCTCTGTAATCTTTAATATTTAGACAAACTAATATAAACCTTCTTCCCAGTTATATTTCCCCCTAGCTATTGAATGCTGACATATTCTTGACGCATTGGAGGGGTCTTTTCAGAAGAGTTCTGAAGAACAAAATAGTAACTGCCCGTATAAGCTTTCAGAATAACTCGTGGGAGGAGCAGGCACCGTTGCAGAGGCAGACCTCATCATGGAAGTTCAAAAAAGGAAGCAATGATTCCTTGAGAAATAGACACTGCTAGTTAAAAATAATGAGATGAGAAAAATGGAATCTTCCTATTTGCATTTTGAAGGAAGTATAGGTGATATAGTTGTGGTGAGCATAGGGTCATGCTGATAGCATAATGAAGCCTGAGAAAATATTGGCTGTGAAAAATGCTTTTATGAACAAAGTTCTAAACATCAGAAAAAAACCTAAAAATTAGAATTTGGGATTTAACCACATCTCAGCAAGTTGATATAAGTAATTTCAGTAGAATGAAAGGAGAGGGAAATAATTTTATTATCTGTCTATCATGATGAACAACAAGATTTTCGAATTAATTTTAACTTCTTATGATTTTGGTACCTGGTCCAGCTAAAAGCGTAGAGACCATACATTTGTTATTTATGGGTTTTCTTTCAAATTCTCAGTATTTAATACAAAATGTGCACAGGGAGCTTCTTTTGTTCATACTGCTTCACATCTTCAAGGGCTTTGCTTATAAATATATTTGTAATGTGCGTTGCTCCTGTGGCATGTAAGACACACATAAATGTTCCTTGCAGTTTTGGAAGATTTTTAGACGAGTTTGTGCACACAACATTTTGATACTCAGTCAAAACATAGAACTGATGAGATCTCATCTTTTCTTAATGTGTTTTGCATAACACTGAGTGGTATTGATTCAATTGACTTGCAACACTTCCAGGACTTACAAAAAAAAAAAAAAAGTTACTCCTTTTCCTATCTGCTAACCAGATGTTAATTACAAATTCGTTAGCTAGGTATGTATTTACCATTTATAACTGGCATAAATTAAGTGTTTCCAGAAAATATAACAGATTGAAGCAGGGTTTTCATATTTCAGGTTGCTGTTGATTAATGTTCTGCTCTATTAGTTGTAACATTTTTTTTACATACTATGAACACATCTAGACTTTATAAGCAGAAGATATTCAGAGCATATTCCACACACAATGCTTGTACAGAATTTTTCATTGCTTAAAAAGTTTTTTGTCAGATCGCTAGTTTCTCCTTAGGTAGGAAGCAAAGATTATTTGGGAGGCAGAGGATGTATGATACAACTAATTTTATTTTCTTGCCAAGCTACATTGCCTGTTACCTGTTGGCCTGCCTTTACTAACTAGGTTAAGTAATAGCACTTATCTGAAGTATACATTTAATTGATTTCACTCTTGTACCATGCAGTGTTAAATCATGCCAGATGGGATGTAACAGAATATTGCGCAACATAACATGACTCAGGCTGAATCAAGAACTCAAGTGATTTGGGTCAATTTAATCTTCTGTAAAAAAAAAAAAAATGGTCTGTAGTTTTAAAATAAACTTGAAGAAAATATTGTGCTCAACTATTCTGGAGTCTGACGTCTGGGATACTTAATACTTCACAGGTACTGAGTGAATCATACTGTGTGAGATGCATGACAACTTTTATGTGGTTGGGCATACACATGGCGATAGGAGTACTGATCTTGGCTCATCTTGCTTTCTTATTTAATACAGATACCTAGTTTATTTAAAAGAAACTTTAGCCTGAGTTAAAAATGTAGGTCTAATATTCATGGCTCTGTCTAATTAACAGAACATTCACGAGTTCAGTGCTGCATATCAGCATTGTGGAAAGCAGTCCCTCATATACAAATGTCTTCTGTTAGTGTTTTGAAAAGTTCATATGCTAAATTATTGGAGTATAAAACTGAGAAAATCTGTAGAGAGATAAATTGCAATGACGTGGTATGTAGTATATTTTGGAGAAGGTTAAGGAGAAAAATACTTTATAACATTAATTCTTTGTAAAAGTTTTTTTCTCTTTAGAATATTTCTGAGTATATTTTGCAATACAAATCTCAAGCCTCTTTAAAATGAGGTACATATATGCATTGCTATAATAACCTCTGTGTGTGCATAATTGGATGTGAATAGTATTGGCTTTAATATGGTAGTCTTCCTGTTGATGTTATAAATGCCCTTGCATAGCTTAAAGCAGGAGTATCAGAACACTGTAAAATAGTCAGTATTGAAATTACCGTTGGTCTTTCCATCAAACTAAAGCAGTCATTAAATCCTTAGTGCCTAAAAATATTGGTGAACACCTAGAGGTATATTGTCCAGACTTTCTTTAGCCAAAAAAAGGTTTCCTTTTCCTGTGGTCTACTTCAGGAATATATCATACTACAGTATATCTTATTTTTTCTTCTGCAAGTGATTGCAATCAATGTGGTCTCCTGTGTTTTATGTCTAGCTGCTGTGTTTATTTGCTTGAACCACTCTATTAGTACAAGCTGGGAGCTCTAGTAACTTCTTCCTGGTCCCTGGCCATGCTTTCAGGACAGCTTGCTATTATCAGCTTTTCGAAAAAGCTCATTGCAGACTTTTATCAGGATTTTGACATTTCCCATGACCAAATGGGCTGAGATTTTTCTGGAAAGCAATTTGTTGTAAGTGTGAAAAGGATGTAAAAGATCTGGTCCCACTGGGAAATTCTTAGGAAGCATAAAAAGGCTGTAGGGTATAGTTTGTACTATGACTCGTTTACTTGCTTATTGTCATTGTGGGAAAGTGAATTTATAAGAGCTATCTGAAGGATAGGCTTGGAAGGCTATGAATATTTGTTACTGGCGATGGAGTTGGATGCAGAAGAAAGAAATATACAGAAGAATGAGAACGATGTTGTCAGTGAGGCTATAAACTGAGACATTTATAATGCACTCATTACATCTTCATACCCATTTTGCAAATGGTTTTCATTACTAATTCCACACAAGTAGCAAATATTTCAGTCATTCCTTTTGAGTAATTACCTTTAACCATGCATATGGTCCTGCATGGCTATGCTTCAGCATATTTGTGCTAAGTGCCTAGCATGTTGAAAGCCAATCATGTCTGATGATTTTTTGGTAGAATTTTAACAAGCTTTTTTAGCCTGATAGTAAACAAAGACTTGTGCAAACTTATATCCAGAGACACCTGTAGATTTCGACAAGTTATATGAAAGATTATACGCAAAAGAAACCCATATCTGCTGTCCTGTCAAGCTCACAATGCACAAGAACTTGATTGAGTTATTAGGAAAAGTCATTTATGGTGAAGGGAGAAGTTTCCATAGCAACCTGAAGGTGATGAGACATCTGCTCATTGGGGCAAATATTTTGGGATATCCTCTACCGAGGCAGCTCAGTCTCTTCCACCTGCAAGTTTCAGTACTTTGGCTGCAGAATACAGCAGGTACTATTTGGAGGCCTGACAACATAAGGCAAAACCAAAGATTTAAGTCTCACCTTGAAAATAATTTGGACTTCTCAGTAGTTTTATTTCACTTTGATTGTCATTTAAAAATGTCTGTAAATAGGCATGAGGAGATTTGTTTTAACAACTAGACAAAGTAAATATTCATAGAAAATTCATCCACTAGAAGTGTAAAATACGGAGTCTTCCCTG